AAAAAAACGGGGCGCTAAACCAGGTGAATGAATGAAATAAAAATAAATAAACAAAATAATAAAATAAATAAAAAAATAAATAAAATAAAATAATAAGTAAATCAAAACTCTGAGCTGGACCTTTCTTCCTGATCAGGTTGGATTCAGATTTCCTGGAAACAGATACGACCTTCATCAGCAGTCGACTTCCACCCTGACGGATCAGAGAGACGACCTGCCGGTGACCCACCTTCACCACGTCATTGCCGTTCACCTGGACGACACACAGACAGGTACGTCACAGAGCTTTAATGATCTGTAGCAGAGATCTAATGAAGCCACACATCAGAGGACAGGTGCGTTACCTCTATGAGGAAGTCTCCAGTCCGTAGCCCCGCCCTCCAAGCCACGCCCCCCTGGTCCACTGACTCCAGGTACTGGAGGGCAGGGAACGCAGGGGTGGGGGCGAACTCCTCGATGGGGGTCTCAGCTGTAAAGAGAGGCAGAGTACTTTTACTTTAAGTGTATCCTGATGCTAATACTTTTGTATTTTTACTTTTAAATGCAGGACTTTTACTTGTAACAGAGTATTTTTACTCTGTGGTACTTTAACTTAAGAGAAAGATGTGAGTGTTTTTTCCATCACTGGGTGCTAGGATGGGGGTTGTAGTCTTTTCAGGATAAGACTCAGTGGACTCTGTAGTTATTATGAAACGACACAGCGAGGAGTTTTAAAGCTCACTGCTCTTCCTCTGAAGACTTCACTCTGTTTTAAATATCTCTCTTTTTTCTTTCCCAACACCTCCAAACACCCACCGCTCCTCCATCCATCCATCCATCCACTCCTCCATCCATCCATCCATCCTGCTGTTTCTACCTTTAGCTCCTCTTAGGACAAAGCCGAATCCTTCGCTCTCTCTCTTCTGCAGCACGGCGGTCTTCTCCTCAATCACATAGTCACTGACAGACAGAAACAGGAAATGTTTTCAGGTTGTATGTAGTTATATGAGCTGTAGAGTAAATGCAAAGCGTGGAGAGGTTCAGAAAGCTCACATACAGGGGCCGGTTGCACAAAACACCTTGAGGTTTCTCCTTAAAGGTCCAGTGTGTAAGATTGAGGGGGATTTAGTGGCGTCTAGCACTGAGGATTGCAACAGCTGAAACTTCTCCTGGTTAGAATTCCTTCAGTGTTCATAGTTCAGGAGCTGAATTATCTCTCTCTCTCCAATACAAACAGACCAGGAGATTGAAACCAGTACAAACACTGAATAAAGCAGTTTCACTTTACAAATCAGTGTTCTTTCGTTGTTGTTCAGCCTTTCTCAGAGGGGCTGCTAACTACAGTGGCCAATGTGAAAACACGAAGGTCCCTGTCTAGAGCCAGTGTTTGGTTTGTCCGTTCAGGTCTACTGTAGAAAAAAACCCGGCGAAAATGATGATCTCCGTAGACGAGGACCTCCTCAACAAGTTCCTGAGAATGTTTCACAATAAAAGCCTGTTTGGAAAATGGAGGGATTCTCTCAGCTGAAATGATAATGGGCTTTTAATGTGAAACAGATATAGGAAGTGTTGAGTTTGAAATGACGGCGCGATGCATTATCTTTATCAAGGCAAACGGGGGCGATTAAAAGTAAAAATAGAATGAGAAATGATGGCCTGTTTGCAGTCTGTTTGAAATGAGGCTGGTAGCCTCTGCAGCTGTGCTGAGTAAAAGCCACTATTTTTTAATTTTCTTAGTTTATGTCCGTCTCCATTATGAAGAAATAGCATTGTTTACTAGCTCGATGCTAATGGCAGTACTCAGCAGGTTGATAAAGTGCCTCTGCTGTTTCACACCATCAGTTTTTCCTTTTTACTCTGTGTCCTAACGTCCCTACAGGAAATATCTACAAGGCGGGGCGTTGGTGGATTAGTGGTTAAAACAGGCGCCCCATGTCGCAGCGGCCCGGGTTCGACTCCAGCCTGTGGCCCTTTGCTGCATGTCATTCCCTCTCTCTCTCCCCTTTTCACACTCAGCTCTCCTATCGATTAAAGGCAAAAATGCCCGAAAAATATCTTCATTCTGGGCTGTTGTTGTCCTACAGTTTCCACAGTAGCAGATCACTCTGTGTTCCTATTGGTCAAAGTGACGGCTGTGACGGGAGAAGTCGTGAACGACAAAAAGAAAATCAAACATGCTAGACTCTCTGTTGAAACATCGTGAGGCGTCCCAGACGTGACGTCGGTTGTCATCTACTATGACCCACTACTCAAGATGAAACGATGGATTATCACGTACAACACTCGTCATTCATGAGCCGAGCCGATACCGTACGACCCTATGTTGGGCCATAATCGGGCTGATATCATGTCGTGTGAACCCGGCATAGGGTGACGAAAAACGATTCTTAACTTCAGGTGATTGCACACTAAAGAAAACATACTTATATTATTATCCATTCCTGCCAATATATCCCCCTAAATCCTCCACACTGGACCTTTAAATATTACACTTAAGGCTTTATTTCTCCTTAGCTGAGGAACTTACTTAAGGGTGTTGCACAGGAAATGGTTTCGTTCGTTAAGGAAAAACGTTAAGGCATGTACGGCACTGAAATAGATTTTACAGTTGTAAAATTCTAGAACTTCCATGGAGACCATTTGCGTGCAGTTGCGCTTGTGATACATGTTACCACCTCACCTGTTCTCCTCTCAGAAAGTTGGCCTAGAGATCGTCAAAAAAATGTCAGAAGAAAAGAAACAGACAACGGGAAACAACAAATATGGAAGATAATTAAACAAAAATCAATTCAAGAGGGAACACTCTTCTCCGGACGCGTCCATTTTCTTCACTTATCTCCATAAATTCGTCCTCGTTGCTGTTAAGATACGGTTCAACCATATAACTAACATTAAGGGAATACTTAAGTATAAGACCAAGATAAGGAGAAAACCTTGTATAGCACTTAAGTGAACATCTTAAGGAAACCTTAAGGAGAAGACATATGGGTGTTTTGTATTTATGTAGCACTTTTAGAAACACAGTTACAAAGTGCTTCACATATATAAGTACAAATACAAGTATATACATATACGTATACATACATTCATACATACACTCTTAGAAATAAGGGTTCTAAAAGGGTTCTTCCACAAGGGCTGAGGTTCTACCCAGAACCAATTGCTTCTGAAAAACCCTTTTTGGAAGAACCATTTCTTCAAGGATTGAACATTTACCCATGTTTCACTTGTATTGTTAAATGTAAGACGTATCTAGAATCCCCTTAATTAATTAATTTTACTTGTGTTCTGCCGCAGTTGATCTCTTTACCACCCTTTAACGCCATGCAATAACACATGGTTTGCTGAAATTATTATTATTATTTGTATGGGTACCTGGTACTTGGCATTTTGTATTCAGTTCTAGTATGGAAATGAGTGTCCCTTCCCAACCCTAATGTGCTAATGAAATAGTACAGACTGTCGTAGTGGAAATGATTTCACGAAATCTCCACCCCCTTAAAAACATTATTGTGAACCACAAGTGTCTCTTGACAGGTTTCTGGATGAGGACCTTGGAATATAAATATATTCTCAGTAAATACCCCTGAGTGCGCCTAGACATAACCCTTGAAATATAGAAGGGTTCTCATTAGAACCTGGTTGGATTTAAGATGAAACCCTAGGAATATTAAGGGGTTCTTGGTAGAACCCCCAGGGTGGGTTCTAGATGAAACCTTTGGAATATAAAAGCGTTCTTGGTACAACCCTCTTGGCTGGTACTCAGTATCCGAATTAGCCATCAAGGTTTTCTTGAATCGTTCTTAATCTGGTCCCTCCCCTGGGACCACTTTGCCTTACCAGGGGCTATAAGCCCCGAACAACACAGCTCCCAGAATCACAGGGACACGCAAACCCCTCCACCCCTCCACCACATTAAGATGGCATTTCTCGGTTTGGTGTGGTGTCTACAGTGTTGCGAACACTGTGCTGGATCGTGGTGGTGAAGAGGGAGCTGAGCCAGAAGGGGAAATTTTCGATTTATGTCCCAACCCTCACCTATGGTCATGAGCTCTGGGTAGTGGCTGAAAGTATGAGGCTGCAAATACAAGTAACGGCGAGTTTCCTCCGTGGGGTGTCTGGGCTCAGCCTTAGAGATAGGGTAAGGTGCTCGGACATTTGCGGGGAGCTCAGAGTAGAGCCGCTGCTCCTTCACATTGAAAGGGGTCAGTTGAGGTGGATCGGGCATCTGATGAGGATCCTCCTGGATGCCTCCTGTTAGAGGTGTTCTGGGCACGTCCCACTGGTAGGAGGCCCCGGGGCAGACCCAGAACACACTGGAGGGATTACATATCTCATCTGGCCTGGGAACGCCTCGGGTCCTCCAGGAGGAGCTGGAAACCGCTGCTGGAAAGAGGGACGTCTGGGGTACCTTGCTTGGCCTGCTGTCCCCACGACTGGGGCCCGGATAAGTGGATAAAAATGGATGGACATATGGATATACTTTCTTTGGTAGAATCCCGTCTGCGTTCTTGATAGCACCCTTAATAATATGAATAGGATAGAACCCTTAACCCCAATACAATACCCTAAGAGAGGGTTCTGGGTGGAGGTATTACACCATAGAACAGATCTCTGAAGAATGAACAGGTCTTCCAGGAACTGAAAAGGGTTCTTCTACAGGAGAAAAAGCCTAAGAACCCTGTATGGTTCTTCCTAGCACCTTTATTTTTAAGAATGTACATACAAACATACCCACATACGCATACATATGCACAATACGTAGACATGAATTAATTGAAGCACACGACCAAAATAAACAAAGCTAAAGGCAGAGTGTTTATAAAAAGGCTAACCTATTCTTTTTCAGTAGCCGCTTATAACAAACCACAGATTCAGCAGATCTGATGGAATGGGGAAGGCTGTTCCAAAGTTTGGGAGCTACAGCCCCATGAGCACGGCCTCCTCTGGATTTGAAGTAGGAATGGGGAACAGAGAAAAGGCCTTGATCAGAAGATCGGAGTAGCCAACAACTAAAAAAGGGGCTCAACAGCTCGGCTATATATGCAGGGACCAGGCTGTGCAAGGCCTTGTAAGTGATTAGTGAAGTCAATCGTGTGCTTTACTGAACGCCAATAAAGAGAGGAAAGAACTGGTGTGATGTAGGACCAATGACAGTTTTTGTTTACAGCCTAGCCGCGGCATTTTGCACCAGTTGAAAACGAGGTGGGAAGGACTAAATGATGCAAGAAAAGAGGGAGTCACAACAGTCTAAATGAAAAGATTAATGAGTTTGATTTTTGGAATTTCTCAACTGAAAGATACTGACTGAGTTTGGTAACGTCAGCTTCACAGTTCAAATGTTAAATGCTGGTCAAAATTCTAGGTATTTTATTAAAACCTTAACTCGGAGTTTAAGGAAAATCCTAACCTAAGGTGTTTTGTGCAACCGGACAATCCTTAGATATAGTCTAAACAGATAATTCTAAGATCTAATATTATGCTTGGGGGGATTTGTGAAATGTATTTATGTAAGAAGTTAAACTATCAACACCAGTTTACAAAGACTACACGAAACAACTACACTAATACTAATGTTAACTACACTAATACTAATGCTAACTACACCAATACTGATGCTAACTACACTAATACTAATGTCAATTACACCAATCCTAATGCTAACTACACTAATACTAATGCTAACTACACCAATACTGATGTCAATTACACCAATCCTAATGCTAACTACACTAATACTAATACTAACTACACCAATACTGATGCTAACTACAGCAATACTAATGCTAACTACTCTAATACCAATGCCAACTACACCAATACTGGTGCTAACTACACTACTACTGATGCTAACTACAGCAATACTAATGCTAACTACTCTAATACTTATGCTAACTACACTAATACTAATGCTAACTACACCCATACTGATGCTAACTATACCAATACTGTTGCCAACTAAAACGGCACCAATACAAAATACACAGTACTAATGGTAACGACACCAATAATAGTGCTAGCTAGTACCAGTACTGTTGCCAATGAAAGCGAATTTAAAAACTTTTTTAGGAGATAATGTTATGTGTTTATACAAGTAAATATACATAGATAAATACTTTTATATGTGGAGACATAGAGCAATAGCAATAGTAGGAGTGAATTTAAAAAACGAATAAATAAATATGAAAACAAAATAAATTACAGAAATGTTATAATAATACAAAAAAAAATCACAGTCAAAAGCCTGTATTTAATTAATTTAATAATCTACCTGTATTTTATGTAATATTAAATGAGGCTGTCCTAAAATGACTCCAGCTTTTCATGAATGTCATCTTAGCAACATCGAGAGTAAAATTATGATTTTATTAATCTTTTTAGCAACTAATTACGGTGTTTAAAGCAGCTTTATCAACTGATATTTGTAAGCATACCCTGCTGTATTTATTGAACTATGTAAAGTTATTTTATTAATGATGTGATATTAAAGCCAATGAATAAACTAACTAACCAAGCGGTGGTGGGGGGTATATCAGTACCAGACCTGTGTGAGGGGCACTATCAGGGGGTAGGTATAGCACATGCAGGAGGTGTAATGATGGTGCCTTACCTGTAGGAGGTGTAGTTGTCATAAGATCCTACAGTATAATGTCTGAACAGTCGCTTGGTGCGGTCCTCTCTCGTTTCTGAAACATACATCAACATATATTATAAAGTACTGTACATAAATATGGTATCAAATGTCCTACTATTTATATACAAATATTTATATTTCTTTACCCAGTCGTGGGTCATATTGTCTCATCTGGACTTCTTCAACACAGTCAGCAGGAAACCATCCCGTCCTTCCTTTAACACTTCCTTCCCAGAATCCTCCTTCACCTATTGACAGAACTGTAGATCCACAACACACAGAGTGTTACAGTATCACTACACCAACAGGTACTGCTGTCTCAACTGTACACAGAGCTACAGTCTGACCTTTGACCCTCTCTCCTCGGTGCAGCTGGATCTCTCCGGTCCCCTGGGGGACGTGGGACCGGGTAGCGATGAAGGTGCGTCCTGGTACGGCTCTGTACAGCCTCCTCTTCCTCATTTGAGGGGTTAGAGGAGGGGAGGAGGGGGGACTGGTCTCCACATGACCTCCGCCACTCGGGCTGCAGACAGACAAGTCAACCAGCGACAGTGTAATTAAACTCACCAGGGCTGTGTCTAACGACTGGTTCTTAACTAGCTACAATAATACTGTTAACAAATACACTGTTATGACTAAGACTACTAAAACCAAGGTTTAAACAGCACTGTTATCAACTGTGTCATCTACAGCAGATCTGTTGCCAACTATTATTAGTTATAATAATATTTGAAATTGCTTTAAAACATGGCAGTCACATTTATGCAGCAAAGTCAAGTAAGGATTAATACTCTGTTACTCAAAACCAAAACAGAACTACACTGATACTGAGTGTGCAGTTGGGAACAAGGAATATGGCTGCATCTGGTGCTGTTGTAAACTCCACCATTACTAATGTCAAACAAAGTACTGGTGCTAACTACAACAGTACTGATGCTAACTACAACAGTACTGATGCTAACTACAACAGTACTGATGCTAACTATACCATTACTGTTGCCTACTAAAGCAGTGCTAATGCAAAATACACCAGTATTAATGCTAACTACAACACTAGTAAGTTTCTAACTACACCAATACCGCTGCTAACTACACCAGTGCTAATGCTAACTACAACACTAGTAAGTTTCTAACTACACCAATACCGCTGCTAACTACACCAGTGCTAATGCTAACTACAACAATGCTAATGCTAGCTACACCAATACTAATGCTAACTACACCAGTACTAATGCTAACTACACCAGTGCTAATGCTAGCTACATCAATACTGATGTTAACTACACCAGTACTAATGCTACCTACACCAAGGCTAATGCTAGCTACACCAATAGTAATGCTAACTACACCGATGCTAATGCTAACTACACCGACACAAATGCTAACTACACCAATGCTAATGCTAGCTACACCAATACTAATGCTAACTACACCAGTACTAATGCTACCTACACCGAGGCTAATGCTAGCTACATCAATACTGATGTTAACTACACCAGTACTAATGCTACCTACACCAATACTAATGCTCACTACACCGATGCTAATGCTAACTACACCGACACAAATGCTAACTACACCGATGCTAATGCTAGGTACACCAATACTAAAGTTAACTACACCAGAATTGATGATAACTACACCAAATCTAATGCTAGCTACACCAGTACTGATGCTAACTACACCAATACTAGCACTAACTACACCAATACTGATGCTAACCAAACCGGTACTGATGCTAACTACCAATAACAATGCAATGCTGTTACCAAAGAAAGTGGCACTAATGTAAAATAAACAAGTGCTAATGCTATATACACCAGTATTGATACAGACCACACCATTACTCAGGAAACTTCACCAGTACTAAGGCTTTACACACCAGTACTGATGCCAACTACACCAACTCTAATGTTAACAATACCATTACAAATGATACCTAGACCAGTACTGATGCTAAATGCAGAATTACTGATGCTAAGGACACCAGTACTAAAGCCAGCTACATCAGCTCTGATGTCACCTACACCCCAGTGCTGACATGGACTAATAGTTGTATCAGCTGGATGACATGTTTGACTACAACAGTGTGTAACTACCAAACATACTGATCCTGTGTCTGAGTATAATAGTGTCCATAAGTGTCCGTATGTGTGTACCTGAGGCGGCGTGTGTGTCGTCGTAGCGAATGTGTGTGCGTGTCGTGGTGCGTTTCCAGGCTTTGGAGGGAGGGGCCAGGAGAGGAGGCGGGGCTTTCCAGAGCGTTGTCACTAGCTGAGCGAATCAGGGAGCGCGGTGAAGCCAGACCATTTCCAGCCGCCGTCCTGCTCACGCCGGCTCTGCGGCGCTTTGTGTAGGATGGAGTTTCTCTAAAGGGAACTACTTGGGCACATTAACACACACAGGCAAACACAGACAGACACACACACAGTTAACTTCTACAGCTACTGTGACGTGTGCACTTGCACACACACATATACACAGAATTTAAATGTGTTTACAGTCTCAGCCAACTCACCAACGTCAGAGGTTTTGTGGATCTTAATGATTTCTGCAAGTTCAAAGTTCCCAGCTATTATTGCCACCTACACACACACACACACACACAAGGAGAGTCCGTGCATTATCATAACAACAACAAATGGATCAGACATTTGGCTTTATATATACCACCATTAAAAAGCATCAGGCTTTTATTCTATATTCTAATTATCAACAAAACCCATGAAAAGACTGAACGTGTTCGTCTGTGTTTCTTTTTCTAGATCCGCCCGCTCGGTCCTGCTGGATTTACACACTCAGGATAATGTTGCACATTTCAAGCCTCCGGGGAAATTTAGCAAATATCAAATCAGTGATAAAACAAAGGGTGAAACCTGCACTTGTTTGCAGGTAGAGGTCTCCTGACAACAGTTTTACAGGGAAATGTTTAGAGATCCAAATGTGTTTTAAAACGTAACTTTGGTATTTCTAACCTTTTCTAACTGGCAGCAGCCACACAGGCGGCAATGTAATGACTCAAGGCTTGTTCACACCATCAGTGTGCCTCCCAGCTAGCCCCGGCTCTCCGTTTGGATCCAACCGGAGCACCGAGCCCTGGTTTGTTATTCAGGTTAAAGTGGGAAGAAGCAGCGGGTTTATCGGGCAGCTGAGTGAAGTGGAGCCTGCGGAAGAAACACCGGGACCGTCTGGATGTAATAGTCCGTGGAGGTGCTGCGGTGCTCGGCTGCACAGATAGGAAACCCCTCGGCTGACAGGATGTACCACTCTCTCACTCTGCTCTCTCTCACGCAGGCGCAGAACGTACGTGCTACTTGGCCGTCGGATGTAGTCCGTGTAATGTGTTCAAATGCAACTGTCACAGGGCGACGTGAGGCGACATAGACGACGCAACAGTTGGCTTTCGTCACCGCTAGTTCTTTGATGTCAGTTTGGTGTGTCCGCACCTTTGAACAGTAAGATCCTTTTTGTTTAACCAGAAACAGCCCCAAAATCGCTATCATCAAACCCACCAGACTCCATTTAAAAACACAGTAATTTTAGCCTGTATAGAGGCAGCATGTTGTCACATCTAACTGGTGAATTAAGGGTTTAGTTAGAACAGTGGAAAGATGAACCAAGATGGTTTCTGTGAGTTTAATTTTGCTTCCGTCAACTTTTAATGAAGTGTGTCTTACAATCATAAAATGACTGTTTTTTTAAATGCAGTCTGGTGGGTTTGGTGATGGTGATTTCAGGACTGTTTCTGGTTAAACAAAAAGGATCTTACTCTCTAACACAAAGCTCTATGTCTGTAGGGATCCTTTCATGATGTTGTCACACACTTAGAATAACAATCTGAGCCTGTCAGTGACAGAAACAAACACTGTTAGTGGACGGACACTGACGGTGTACAGTTGCCCCAAGTGAGTGAATCATTACAGCTTGTTTTTCCGCTGCTGTCTGCAGTGCTCTCTCTGAATACTGGGCCAGTTTAAAAAACTGCTCTTCCCATCACTTAGACACAAAAACAGGAAAATAGGATTCAGGTTAAAAAATACCAAACTTACCCTTTAAGTTATTATCCTGTGTATCCAGAGTATAATTACTCACACAAAATAATAATCCAAGATAAGAATTGTGTGTTTTTATTTTACCTGAAAGGCAGTCTGGTTGTTGTAGTTTTTGATGTCTTTATTTGCTCCTCTGAACAGCAGCACTCTGGCGCAGCTGTCCTGCAAAACCAGCAGCAATTATTTCATTAAGTTAAAAAAAAACATCACACACAGAGTAACAGTAAGAGGACTTAAAAATATTATTCTTATGATGTGTTTTTTGGTGTGTTACCTGGTTGTATAGAGCACAGAGGTGCAGTGCGGTGTTTCCCGATGCATTCTGGGAACTCATGTCAGCTCCGTAGAACAGCAGGTGCTCCAAGTGCTGCACGTTACCATAGCGACATGCCTGAACTCACACAGACATGCGCCCACACACATACACACACACACACACGCACGCACAGAAAAATCATAATTGTATAGGGCAAGTAATTCAATTAATTGTGGATGGTTGTGCATGTATGTGTGTGTTTGGATGTGTGCGTGTGTGTGTGTGTGTGTGTGTGTGCGTGTGTCACCTGGTGAATTTCCTGCCACCCATTCTCATCAGTCATCCCTGCAACCATGACAACAAGAATTCTTTCACCACTGAAGTGTTGTTTTTTTTCTCCACAGATGACACCAACAAAATGAACAAATAAAAATAATCACACGGTGACGTTGTATCACTAACAACAGATTGACCCCTGTGAGCCTCCGTACCGATGGTGGCGTGGTCCTGCAGCAGCAACTCGCAGCAGTAGGGGGCGCCGCCCACCATGGCAGAGTGATAGAGAGGAGTTAGACCTCTGCTGTCCTTGTAGTCCGGAGACGCTCCAAGGTCCAGCAGAGTCTGAGGACCAGGACAGGACGAGACATTATGTAGATTAACTGTATTTAACTGTAACACTGCACATCATATACATGTAGTATTATTATTCCTTATATATCACACTGTACACATAGCTAATACTATATTATGTCTTATAGTGTGCACTGTGATGTATGCTACATTATGTGGCACCACATCTACAGATTTCATCTCATATTGCATTTACCTTTATATCCCACATGATATTACACTACAGTATTCTGGGGTTCACTGTTATAGTTGGTATCATATAACTCACTTTGCCTTAGACAGCAATGCAGTGTTAGTTCAAGTAAACTCTGGTCTTGGGTACTGTTTGTGTACGGCTTGCGATTTAATTCGAGTCTTTTGTCGTCTCTATTCTTGTTTCATATCCTTAAAATAATTTCTTTATCTGTTTTATTTTTACCTTTCTCTATTTATCTGAACTTATTTCTACCCTTGTGCTGCCACAACAGTCGAATATTGTCTGGAGATCAATAAAAACCTATCGCATCACATCGCAATACGATATAAGATGTATTAACGTACGATACAATATGATACGATAGAGTACAAAACGATACGATAGAAGATATGATACGATGCGATACAGGACCATATGATATGATACAATAAGATAAAATGCAATACGATTCAGTACAATATGATACAATGTGATATAAGATGATTCGAAGACACAATGAGTGACAATATGAGTGTCTCGCATCGTCTCGCATCTTATCATATCTATCATATCATCTCATCTCACTTGGTATCATATCCCATTGTATCTTATTGTCTCATATCATCTCCGGCAGTATCATATAGTATCTCATCTATCGTATCGTCTCGCATCTTATCTTATCTTACCATATTGTATCGTATCATAAGGCATCTTATATTTTCATCTCGTCCCCTTTCCTCTCATATATGATATCGTATCCTCGCTCATTGCATCTTATCGTGTCACACTGTATCTTATATTTTATCATAATGTACCGTAACGTATTGCATTTTATCCTATCCTATCTTATCTTATCTTATATCGTATTGCATCTGATCTTATCTTACTTTATTGTATCGTATCGTATCGCACCTTATTGTATCATAACTCATCTGATATTTTTGTCTCGTCTCCTCTTATATCATTTCGTATTGTATCGTATCGTATCGCATTGTATCGTCGCTCATCGCATCTTATCGTACCATCTGGTATCACACTGTATCTTATATTTTATCATAATGTACCGTATCGTTTTGCATTTTATCCTATCCTATCTTATCTTATCATCTTGTATCGCATCGTATCATATCTTATATCGTATCGTATTGTACCGTATCATGTTGCATCTTATCTTATCATATTGTATCGTACTTTATTATATATTTTATCGTATTGCATCTGATCTTATCTTAGTGTATTGTATCGTATCATATCGCAGTTTATATTTTCGTCTCGTCTCAAATCATATTGTATTGTATTGTCGCATCTTATCGTATCGCGTTGTATCTTATATTGTATCATATTGTACCGTATCGTATTGCATTTTATCCTATATTGTATTGTATCACATCTTATTTTATCGTATCATATCGTATCGTCTTGTATCTCATTGTATTGTATCTTTTTGTCTTGTATCATATCGTCTCATCTCGTATCCAATTGTAACACATCTTAACTAATCTTATCTTATTTTATCTCATCCTATTGTATCGTATTTATCAATAAATACGATACAACAAAAAAATAAGACTAAAGAACTTTGATTACATTTGTTAAGTAAAACTATTAATATTAAAGTTGAATTTACCTAAATATTAAACTCTCAGTCTTGAAGAAGTATTTAAGTTAAATATGTCTAAACTCAATAAACTGCACTGAGACAAAACCACAATGAAGGCCTTTAATTTAAAAAAAAAAATTGTGCAGTTAATTTGCACATCAATATATTTTTACAAACTGTTGTTTTTTCACGCAGAATATTACGCGACAAAGAAGCAACATAACTTTTTTGGTAATAAAGTTGATTTTCTAGCTTTTGCGCCTCACATAAAGGCACCAACCAGTCACTTTGTGTGGAACGGACTCACGTCACTAAGTCACAGCTACAAATGACCTGTTGCATCTGTCGCAAATTTCCATCGCTGCCAGTATGAATAGTTTTGTGAGTACTTTGTATTTGTGTGTCGTTTATCCATCACGCCCCCGCTGTGTGAAGGCCTTAAAGCTTAATTCACTGGGTCTCTGTGATGTACAGATTGTCCCTGAAGTTCCAAAATTTGCAATCATATGGTTTATACATGCTGACAGATTAATTTTAATTACTTTATATACTGCTGGTTAGTTTAATCTGTGATAATAGGTAATCAGTTATCAGTTTATTATACTGTGCATTAACCATCTGAATCTGTAAAGTAACTAAAGCTGTCAGAGAAGTGTAGAGTTAAGAGTAAAAAATTAATAAGTATAAAGTCGCATAAAATTAAGTAAACTTCCGAGCTGTATGTGAGGACAGAACATGAGTGAATGTACATGAGTCATTTTCCAGCTCCGACAGTAACATCAGGTCAAACACGAAGAGAAGCCTCAGTAAAAGCTTCTTTAATTAGAGCAGCAGAGAGTGTTGTTTTCTTACAGTGAGAGAAGCGCTGTTCCTGCAGAGGACGGCCCGGTGCAGAGCGGTGATACCGTCTCTGGTCCTGAAGTCCAGGTGAGCTCCTCCACTGCGGAGGACTTTAATCAGGTCACAGCTCTCCTCCAGCTGGACCGCCAGAGTCAGAGGACACTCTGAGACACAAACAACCAAAATGAAACAAGTTAATACTGTCCGATAATAACAGCACATCACTGGAACATAAGTACTGTATGTGTACTGTGGACAGTACTCAAGTATTTTCATTGTCTGCTACTTTTAAATACTTCTACGTCATCTCAGAGGGAAATATTGTACTCCACTACTTTACTTTACTTTTTACTCCACCATATTTATTTACACTTATAATTACTTTTTTTACATGACATAACATTATATATATATATATATATATATATATTTATATAATATGATACATTACTTTAAGTTTGTAGTTTTAATTAAAGGAGTTGTATTCAACATTCAGAGCACATCTATGATTCAGGTTGTCTGCACATGTTTCTCAACATGGAGGTGACTGAGCTGGTGGCTAGCAGCTAACAGCTAACAGCTCTAACAACAGTAACAGTGCTGACAGAGCTAATGGTGTTAGCATGTGGGGGGGGGGGCCAAAGGGTGAGCGCTACACAACGCCGTGGGTCAGGAGGGTGTTATCAGCAGTGATCGCTGTATCAGCGCAGTGCAAAGCAGCGGTGATGAGCCGGTCAGTGGGACACACACACACACACACACACACACGGAGACTCGCAGCCAGGCTGGCTCACCACAACAAACAACAGAGAAGCTCAGAGTACAACACACACACTGAGCGTGAGATTGCTCACAGGCTGTATAATAAAGATGGATTACATGACAGCTCCCCAAAAGTGAAGCCAAAACATCTGGGCCGTCCGCCCCCTCCATGTTAACCGATTAAAAACTGAAAGTACACCTCAAATAAAATTTTCCCAAAGATGGTTTCTGCCATTTTAGGTAGTTCTTATTCTGATCTTTGTTCAAGTGCTTGTTTTTCTGTTAAGTTTGATTTTAATTAGTTAATTTAAGCTATAAAAAGGGGATGTGACGTCATGATTGACAGCTGTGTGTGTCAGTCAGTGTATCTGTGATCAATGGCGCTGCTCGTGATTGGTCAGACAGGTGTTTGTGCAGGAACTTGACACCTGCTGGAGATCGCTACTGCAGAGACTCTGGCTCCAAATGATGTCACCAGCCCGAGACGGCAGCAGCCAGGATATTTTGGCTTCACTTTTGTACTGTGGGAGGAAGCTGAGACGTGTCGTCCATCTTTATGTTCAGTCTGTGAGTCTGTATTAACACTCTGAATGTCACATACAGAACCTTTAAACAGTATAATAACAGTTGAGTGATGTGTGAATGTTTAGGAGGCACTGTGTGTGTGTGTGTGTGTGTGTGTGTGTGTGTGTGTGTGTGTTAGGACTCACCCCCGGTGTCTGAGTCATGGAAGTTGGGGTCCAGGCCCTTCTCCAACCATTTGGAAACCTTCTCCACATTCTTCTGATGAACATGTTCCATAAAGCGCTTTAGGTTGGCCTGGAACACAAAATCTAAATCAGGCATTTATCTGAAGAAGGAAACACATTCTCCCACAGACACAGTTTGATGAAGGCAGAGAAGTTTACAGAGCGACAGACTGTTAGCGTTACATATCGTGGGTTCAGATGTATGTGATTATTAAGGAGCTGTTTTGTCCAGACCTACTTAAAACACAACATTTGTGTCTATAGCTGCACTTTAAGTGATTCATCAGACTCATTTTATGCATATATGCATGTGTGTGTCTAAGTATGTGTGTGTGTGTGTGTACCTTGGTGTGCAGCTTGGCCAGCTGCTTATCGTCCACGTAGCTCTGCGTGTAAACTCTCCTCTTATAACGAAACTGTAGAATAAGAGGTGAAAGGTCACTGTTAGTTTGTGCTCACACACAACAGATGCTGACACAAACATGTCGCGTCGTCACACGCAGTATTTGTCACATTAAATCCCACGAAAACACAAAAACCAACATCGAGTTATATCGAGTTATTACTGCAATTTAAAACGTGTAACGTGTAAAATAAAAATAAAATTTTCAGTCTGTTGCAGCAGATTGTATCTCGTGGGCTGTGAAAACATTTTATTTTATTATTCTAGTAGGCTACCAAAAGTTTAATTTGTATGTTATATTAATTTCTATAATGAAAAAACATACTTTGCATCCATGTAATGATACGATATTGCCAGGCAAATATATTGCAGTACTGTGCTGTATTGATTTTTTTCCCCCATCCCTAATAAGCATACAACTTTGAATTAACACAGTTTAAACTCAGCTAATTGTCATGAAAAATTTTTGCATCCTGATTATTTTCCAAATGAAGTTAACTACATTTAATTTCAACAGTTTTTATTTCATGACATCACTGTTCATCACAAAGTCTTTGTCTGACACTCAGGCAGGTATGCAGGTGTTCTGCTGTTGCTATGGTCGGGCAATCACACATAGAGATGTTGAAGATGGTCATAGGAGGAAAAATGGCGCCATGAAATGAAACAAACCTTTAAAAAAGGGCAATTTGAAATAAAAAGAGCTGCAATAATACAATTTATGATTGTGAAAAGAAGCAGGTTGAAATAACATATCAAAATAATGAGCTGAGCTTTAAAAACGAATCAGATTATTTCAGTTTCATGATTATATCATCTATCTTGTCTGTGGTCATTCCTATGGTTACTTATTTCATAATGTCGGCACATTTCAAATTTAATACATTTAAAGGATATCTTTGGTATTTTATAACCTGGACCCTGTTATCCCATGTCTTCATGTGTAAGTGAGACAGGCTGTAATGTTTCCACTCTGTTCACACCGTCAGTGTCCGTCCACTCACAGTGTTTGTTTTTGTCACTGACAGGCTCAGACTGTTATTCTAAGTGTCTGACAGCATTATGAAAGGATCCCTACAGAGATAGAGCTTTGTGTTAAAGAGTAAGATCCTTTTTGTTTAACCAGAAACACCATCACCAAACCCACCAGACTCCATTTAAATAAACAGACGTTTTATGATTGTAAATCACAAAATGATTTTCATTCAAAGTCAACAGATAGAAAATAAAACTCACAGAAACCATCTTGGTTCATCTTTCCACTGTTCCAACAACCACCAGCTCTGGTTTGGTGTAAATTAACCCTTAATTCACCAGTTAGATGTGACATCATGCTGCCTCTATACACACTAACATCACTGCTTATTTAACTCTTTGAAAACTGAGAATCGAATTGGCTTGATTTATTTTAAAAACCCAGGAAGAAGGCAATGAGCACAAAGGAGGCATGACCCAAAATATTAGCAACAAATTAGTAAAAAGAACTAAAAAAACCTTCAAAAACAGTTAAAAACAAACAAATAAGAAAATGATCTGAAAAGGTGCTTTAAAATTCTAATAATTCTGCAAAATAATTTTAAACTTTAAAAATAATCATAAATATAATTCTCCCTGGCTTTTTTCTTGTTCCCTATTTTTTAAAAATAATTTTCAAAATCTATTATTTTCTTGCAATTTGTGGGACATTTCTTACCAAGTTGCTCACTACTTTTCCCCCCATGTTTCTGAAAGACATCACACCAGTGAGCTCAGGGCTCAGAGGTTTAAAGACTTGTGAAAGGCGTCTGAAAACAGCACAAGGAAAGTGATGTCGCTCCAGGTTTTAAAAGGTTTGATGAAGTCTGATGGGTTTGATGATGGTGATGTCAGGAACATCCTGCTGCCACAAAAACTCACTGGAGCACCAAATGCGAATGAATCCACCGCAGAAAAAAGTCCCCAACAAAGTCAAAGTCGAACTACCGTGAGCAGCTGTTACCGATGAACCTGTATATTTGTGTTCTTAGAGATTTACGTCCTCAGTAGGAACCAATGGGCTCGGAGCAAAGAGACGCAGACAGGAAGTCAGACAACACTGAGACACTCATGTACTGGTTTTGATCTTTTCATGGGATTAGTTGACAGGAACAAAAAACACCTTTAAAATGATGGCAACATATAAACTCTACCGTACCTCCAGGTATGGGATGGGCGTGATGGGAGGAAGAGGATACTCCTTCAGCAGCCGCTCCTCGTCCAGAAACTTTCCGGCTCGGCCGTTGAACGCCGGCTGGAAGAGACCATAGTTCAAAACATCCGACAGAGACTGAGTCAACGTCACCAGAACCCTCTGCTTACTGGTCCAAACTGGTAACTCTGGGTCCAACCGCAAACACTTCTGAGAGAGCCAGAGACAGAGGAACAGACAGACAGAGAAAGAGACAGACAGACACAGACAGACAGACACACAGGTTTGTCGTGCTGATTCATTCATTTCCTTTATATAACCTCCACTCGAGGTTATATATATACTGTATATATATATGCTTATATATATACTGCATATATAACTGTATATATGTGTGTGTTACCGTCTGCTGCAGGTCCGGGATGCCGATGCGGACGACAATGCTGTTTCCAGGGGGCGTGTCATCCGCGTCCTCGTCCCTGGCAACAGCAGAGCCTGTCGGGTTGCCGTTAGTAACCGCCTGTTGCCGCGGGCGATCATGTTTGGTGTCAGCAGCCGGACTCAGAGGCATGTGGCTGAAAAACACACACAGAGCTGTGATGACAGCGTGCAGCTGAGGGGACAGATCACAGTCACATTAATAAAGACTTATTTCAGCATCATGCTAAACTGTAGTGTTCAACCAAAACTTTTTATGTGTTTAATATGTCGTTCTAACAAGAATAGGCTCGATTTTGTTTGTTATTTAAAAAGACAACACGGGGCTGAGGCGGGACAGGAGTGAAAATCCACTCCTGTGTCACCCTTTGACTGCCCACCCTCCGGTCTCCACTGGTTAGCTAACGTTAGCCGTGTCCACTCTGCACCACCTGGGTTGGATGAGTGTTAATTAGTGGCCGTTACTGCTAGCAGTGAAGTCCCAGTGGTAGGCATCCTCCAATTGCACCCCAGGTAGCCATGGTCAACCCGGTCTCACTCCGAAGTTGTCGAAAATCGCCACTTGGTCAGTGACTTCTGGAGTCAGACTGACAAAAAAGCTGTCATTTCACGTTAGCATGATACCTGGCTGGTCGCTGTTGTTGCACCCGGCAGCGTCAGGGGGAAATACGGTGGGACAACAACATAAGTTAATGCAGTGGAAGTCCAACAACCACCAACTTTCACCTGGGAGCCAGTGTTCGCCTCCCGTAAGGTTGTAAAGCCAAACCCTGTTCTTTTTTCCTAAACGTAACCACGTGCTGTTGTTGAAGGGAAAAAAAAATTAATTCACTGTGTTGTACCGACGTAGTGCTTTTATTTTGAAAGAGACTGTATGCAAACTGTACATTTCCTGTGAAAACAGAAGTGTATTTTGAAAACAGACAATGCATGTAACAGGCTGAAGTTGACACGGCGTCCCAGAACGTCAACAACCAACACACCCAGGGTACCTTAGACGTCATATGTGGACGTGGAAAGTCAACGACCAAACTTCGATATGTGACTAAGTTAGAGTGGAAACGTGTTGCCACGGTGAGTAAGTGGTGTCATCACAAAACCCACTCTAGCATTGTTAGCTATGTTAGCACCATTAGCCGTGCTAAAAGTCCATTCTCACTGAGGGTGAATATCCGTGCGGATTATTCTCGCGGAAAAATATAAATGTTGATTTCATGGGTTCTTATGGAAGTTTGTACACTGGGGCGGAACTTTGGTGCGGTGACAAAAAGTTTCCGCCCAGACTTTGACCCCCGCGGAATTCGCCGGTGGAACTACACATCTGGGCCAATGAAATTGTTTGTTTATAGTTGCGCAGACCCGGGAGAGTCCAAAATCCGGTCAGGCAGGACAGTATGGGAGACAGGTTGATAAACCTCGTTTCACAGCACCCCGTCATTTTTGATAAAAGACGGGATGATTTTATGAACAATGAATTAAAGGACAACGTCTGGCAGTCCATTGTCCAGCTTGGTGGCTGCGGTGAGAGTGGTAAGTGCTAAAGAAAGTTGATGTTGACGCTTGTTAAACTTTAGCTTGCTGGTTCGCTGCTGCTGCTGCTGCTGCTACTGCTACTACTCTCATCCATGTTCACCCACACCCGTTCACACTGCACGGAATTGGAACACAACAACGTGAAATTCCGTACCGCAACCGTACCGCGCCTGTGTGTATGGTTTAAACGTGGAAAAGCGTTGCGCAAATATTCCGCAAATCCGTCCCGCATTTCTTCATCGCGGCAGTGAGAATGAACCTTAATGCTGCTAACAGCACCAACAGAGTGCACCCTACAACGCAGCCTACTACTAGGGCTGCAACGATTAGTCGACTAATCGATGACTAATCGACTATTTAAATAATCGTGACTATTTTAGTAGTCGACTAATCGGTTTGAGTCATTTTTCATAGAAAAGTACTATAAAAGTACCCCAAATACTCTTATTGCAGCTTCTTATGTTCAAATATTGCCAGCTTTACACACTCTCCCATGACGGAGAACTAAAACACTTTGGCGTGAGTACGAAACAAGACATTTGTTACTTGCTCACGCCCCCCATTGCCCCGAAAAAGGCACATTCTGTATAAACAAATGTAGGTAGACTGCATTTTGCTGCACTCCCCATTTTTGTTTTTATACTGCCAATGCTGAAAAAACACTGATTGGGCTTTCCTTTTTTTTAAAGATATTTTTTGGGGCATTTTTTGCCGTGAAAGTAAAGCGTGGTAGTTCGAGAGTAGATCGAACATATTAACCAACAATTATAAAGCTCTGTTTCTGTTTCACATCGTGAATGGTCCTTGATGTCATGGAAAAGTTTTAAAATACTGTCCATGAAAATGTGTGTAAACCCTGCATATTAACATGACAGCCACTTGTGCTTATTAGGATTGGAAACACACACACACACACACACACACACACACACAGAGCGCCCCAGACTGAAGGAGTTACATGACAAGTTTTGTATATCAAATGAAGAGGTATCCTTGCATTTTAATAACATTAGCAGCTGGATCTGATTCGTACTTTGTGTCAGAGAGACATTAGCATGAATCTGACAGCCTCCCACAGACACTTCTCACCGCAGGCATTTTGCATTTCCAAAGGTGTAAGTAATAACAGCAATAATGGCTGCGCTCCATCGAGGTGTTCCACAAAATGTGACACAGCCATGTTGGTGTCAGTAACAGTGGTGGGATGGAACAAAATACATCTACAGTACTGGACCTGAGCATTTCCATTTTCTCTAAATGTTCTCTAAGGTTTTGGACACAGGACTTCTACGTGTGGTGGATTCTTTTCACAGTTTGTTATTAGTACTGTCACTGCAGATAACGATCTGAATAATTTTCCATCAGAGCTGGTAATTAACGACATCTGTGATTTCCCCAAACGAGGCCTCTGTGTTGTTTCCCTCTGATTGTTGGACGACATCTTACTCAGATCGTCTGCTGACTCCGACTCTGATCTGACCTCCACCTTCTCCGACACTAATAATGGCCGCCTGCAGGATGTTACATCACATCCTGTTTTTCAGCCTGAGCGCACACACAGACTCACACAACACAGAGAAGAGTCCGATTGTTCTGGACAAAAGTTGAAACACCAGTTTTACAGGAAGTTTAGGGACTGTGTAAAAATTATTAGAGAGATAAGAGGGGAGAGTTCTTTCATTTTTCAAGAGGACGGAGCGTTTTAATGTCTGTGATTTGAATTTCTCCTTCTAATGCACGATTAACTTCCTCTGTGAAAATTGTTATGTTTGCATGTTAAAGGAATAGCTCAACACTTCTTGCAGACTTAGATGACAAACTCAACACCACCCACATGTCTCTACACTTGGGGGTGGTGTCCAACGAAGCGTTTTCCAGGCTAGAGTATACTGACCAAAAGCCAGCAGCATGACAAGGCGCTAAGCGTTCACCAGGAATTAGAAGTGTTCAACTGTGGGTCAACAATGCACCTGTCACTGTCACTTTTTACCCAGCTGTCCAATCACAGTGGAGGAGAGGCGGGACAAATACACCACAAAGACCAACCATCTAATCTTATATGTACAAGATCTGAACAACACTGGAGGAGAAATATGTTAATATACTGTATAAATATTTATATTTGTCTCCTCTCATGAACTCACACAAGCCAGCTGGTTTGTTCTCTCTCCCTACATGCTTCAACCTTCCTGTCATCTAGAGCAGGTACGCTGCCTTGTGCCTACATTTATGTTTCTGTCCCGTACCATAGCAACCACACGCAACCAAAACGTCTTAGGTGAAAAAACGCTGCGCCTCCAAAGAGCTCTCACGCTCTCCCAGCTGGGTGTTTCCTGAGGAGCACCCAGTGTTTTCAGCTGGGAGAAAAACACGGCCCCTTAAAGGGATAGTGCACCCAAACATGAAAATTCAGCCATCATCTACTCACCCATATGCCGAGGGAGGCTCAGGTGAAGTTTTAGAGTCCTCACATCACTTGCAGAGATCCAAGGGGAGAGGAGGTAGCATCACAACTCCACCTAATGGAGGCTGACGGCGCCCCAGATTCAAACGTCCAAAAACACATTATTGAAACCACAAAATATCTCCATACTGCTCGTCCGTAGTGATCCAAGTGTCCTGAAGCCTGAAGAGCTACAGGCTACAATGAGGCTAAAAACAGAGTTCAAATGAGGTTTTTCCAAACAACTTTTTATGTCGGGGCTTCAGGACACTTGGATCACTACTGACGAGCAGTATGGAGATATTTTGTGGTTTCAATTATGTGTTTTTGGACGTTTGAATCTGGGGCGCCGTCAGCCTCCATTAGGTGGAGTTGTGTTGCTACCTCCTCTCCCCTTGGATCTCTGCAAGTGATGTGAGGACTCTAAAACTTCACCTGAGCCTCCCTCGTCATATGGGTGAGTAGATAATGGCTGAATTTACATTTTTGAGTGCACTATCCCTTTAAGATGAAGCTACAAGCTGCAGCTGGTTAGCTTAGCTTAGCATAAAGAGTGGAAACAGGGGGAAACAGCTAGGCTAGCTCAGCCTGGAGCTTAAAACAAAAACTAATGAGCCTGTTGTGACTTCTTTTTGTTTTAAAACTGTACATAATCAGAAATTTAATGAATTACTAACTAATGTAGGGACGTGTGTTTCTGAAACTTCTGACAGAGCTGTTTTAAACAAACACCACGTTGAATTCTTGCATGTTTAGTTACACAGGATGCAACCAAATGTACCAGTTCAACACTGTTATATTGTTTTGACCTTTCAGGAGAGACAGCCCAAAGAAAATTTAATGCTGAGCTGCTCGAGTGAGAAAATATGAACTATAATGACACTGCAGCTATTATCTATATGTGATTTTGTTTTTCTAAACTGTCTCTGGGGTGTTTCTGTAGACACAGCACAGAATTTATATCCTGAGCCTGCCCTCACAGATTTTGCACCAATATTACAACAAATTATTTTAAAAAACTGTACTGAACTACAAATTCACAACTCTTTGAGAACACTAATGTAGAGGGCGCTAACATGGCTGCAAAATAAAGTTGTGGGTGAAACAGATGAACAGTGAGCTGAAACTCACTATAAAGGTCCATAAAAGTGAGCTTATATAGATTAGACCACAACATTTCTGATAATGTTAAAACAACTCACTGCACTGCAGTTTATGACACATCAAATAAAACAGGGTACATCTTCATTTGTTCGCCGTGACCAAGATCTTCACGAAATCTTAACCACCCCGTAGTTTGCTATGAGCAGATATCATAGAAAGCAAGAAGGGTAACTTGGGGTTTTGCAGAATCATCCAATATTTCGACACGTTCTCATCCCAAGTCATCACATATCGGCGCGTTGTCAGTGGACTTTCACGTCTACGTATTCAATCAATCAATCAATCAATTTTATTTATAAAGCCCAATATCACAAATCACAGTGGAGGAGAGGCTGGTATTACGTGCTAGGTATCCTCCTGATCTGCCGTTGGCGTTTCACGACGCCACAATCAACACTGGAACGTCAACAAAAGCACGTTTGGTTTCAGCAATGAAGGCACATGGTTAGGTTTAGAAAGAAACATCATGGTTTGGCGTTACATTCATACAGGAAGTGAACACCGGCCTCCTGGGTGAAAGTCCGAAGTTTGTTTGACCCATCCGCTGCCCCTCCTGCCTGCCCTGTAGGGATGTTCCAGCTCCTTATAATATGTCGTTACCTGCAGCTTTTCAAGCTGACGCCGTCGAGCGGCGTATCATACTGCAGTGGCAGGTGCCATCCAGCCTTGCTATGAACTGACGCCACACAGCCGTGTATCGTACTGCCGCGACAGATGCTGCTTGTTCGGCTGACGACGTATCATAACACCACAAAAAGTTCCATCCGGTTGCGTTACAAAATGACGCCACCAGGTGGTGCATCATCCCTCTGCAAAAGGTGACTTTTGACATCCAGTGTCTGACGCCGAAATCACCGACAAAGCGCAGGTACTTGACGACTTCAGACTGTGAACAGGACGAATAAATACATTCGTGTCTGGCAAAAGAGAGGTCATATAGGTCAGACCACAACATTTTAAATACTTCTATTATCATATTAAAACAAGCTCACTGCTATTTATAACAGATCTTTTAACACCAGGGACTTATCTATCAGAAATCTATCCCATCATCCAACCGGCAGAGCGCTGATCGTTCATATTTTAACAGGCGTCACGACCAGAGAACTGAATGTCACACAGCTGCAGAAGAAGATAATTCTCTGTATCACTGCGAGCAACTCTCATATTATAGTAATTATGAAAGTATTGATTATAGCTGCTGTAACAATGATGTGGGTGGAGAGATGGGTCTTCCTTTAAAAACAAAAGCAACAACAACAAACTGAAAGTTCAGCCAGCCCTGGTAACCCTAATAATTTTGGTACAGTCCCTTACCGACAACCTCTGCTGCTGCCGATGTTATTTTCTAATCAACACGAGACAGTTTGATGTATTTAATTATCATCTGTATTAATCATCATTGATGCTAATTAACACTTGATTACCATTCATGCCTATAGAGCCGGAGCTGAAGTCAGAACTTAATGGCTGCTTCCATTATAATACAGCTGAAGATGAAAGAGATGGAGAGACAGAGAGACCGAGGGAGAGGAGGATGAGTTGTGAGTTGTCATAGAAACTGGAATAGCAGGGAATCCTGTGCTAACCTCACAGTGTCACTCTGTGTGTGTGTGTGTGTGTGTGTGTGTGTGTGTGTGCGTGTGTGTGTTAAAAAAAGCCCCCCTGATCTACATGCTCGCTGTTGCTATGGCAACGCAGTTGAACAATTTTCACAGATCCCGTTTAAAACTACCACCCTACCTGCTGACTCTCTCTCTGTGTCTGTCCTGTCCTCAGGTCTTCTCATGATGGTGACGGGGACCTGGATCATGTGATTGATTTCCAGTATCAGTGAAGTGGTTGAAGTGATCGGAGGTCGGGTGTCGAGGGCGTCTGACATGTCTGCAGAGCGGAGCTGCAGAGCCACTCGTGTTTATAGGACCAGACTGCTCTTTGTTTTTTGTTTTCTTTTACATGTTTTAGCCTCTTAAATACAAATCCTGTGTTCTGTTTGTCACAGATGACGCCTGACTCTAGAACATGTCGTCAGTACGAGTGCACAGTGTGAGGAAAATACGTGATGCGCATAATTGTTAAACATGATGTTAACAATAGGCCGATTTGGAGTGGACGTCACAGTTATGTCACAGCAGTTGTGTGAGCATCTTAGTGGCAGAAAAACAGCGGAAACTGGAGAGCAACGGCCAAGATACCCGAGATAAAAATGTCTTGTTGGACGTCAGAACAGGAATACAGAAAAAGACAACTTTCATCCATTCATCCCTTCATCCATTTTCATCCGCTTATCCAGGGTCAGGTTGTGGGGGCAGCAGGCCAAGCAAACCCTCTCCCCAACAACACCTTCCAGCTCCTCCTGGAAGAGCCCGAGGCGTTCCCAGATGAGATATGTAATCCCTCCAGTGTGTTCTGGGTCTGCCCCGGGGCCTCCTACCAGTGGGACGTGCCTGGAACACCTCCAACAGGAGGCACCCAGGAGGATCCTGATCAGATGTTGAACCACCTCAACTGACCCCATTCGACGTGAAGGAGCAGCGGCTCTACTCCAAGCTCCTTCCGAACGTCCCAACCCTCACCTATGGTCATGAGTTCTGGGTAGTGACCGAAAGAATGAGATTGCAGATACAAGAGGCTGAAATTGAAAGGAGTCAGTTGAGGTGGTTCAACATCTGATCAGGATCCTCCTCTGCGCTTCAGGTGTTCTGGGCACGTCCCACTGGTAGGAGGGATTACATATCTCATCTGGTCTGGGAACACCTCACATACTCACATTTTCTGCTCTTAAATGGAAACTATTATTACTGGGGTTTTTGTTGTTGCAATGAAACATATTTTGCTATAAGTAGTTTGTTATCACTTGTATTATTTTACGTATTGTTCTTTATCTTTCGGTACTTTTGAGTTCTGAATAACTTTGTGAAAACTTTATTAGGTGAAGGCTTCAAATGAGCCCTCTGGGTTTTTTTCCTCTCCCTGCACTGTGTTTCATTGTTCATTTTTTCTTGCCTTTTTTGTGTTTTAATTGTGCAAAAAAAAAATAAACTATTATATTTTTGGCAGATATATACATGAGGAAAGGTTGTGTTCGGGGAGTGCATATTTATTTTGTAACACTGGGTGGCACTTGGACTGTAAATAAACTGGGTTTATTACTTATATATTTAATTTGGTGGTAAACAGACTGGGGATAGTTGTTTACTAGCTGTAAATAAATTTGGGAATTTGTTGAAATAATATATGAGTTAACAGAAGAAATGTTTTACTTCTACCTACTTCTTTTTGGACACGGTTATCTTTATGTTGTGTTTTATTATGTTTTGTTCGAAATAAAGTCATTCATTCATTATATCCTAAATATCAAAAATCTATTTAACGAGAGACAAAACTTTTTTTGGTTGAGAAATATAAACGCTGTGGTGCTTTTTATCCAGAAAAACAGCAGCTCCTGTTTGCTTGCATTTATTTACAGGCAAGTCTTTCACTCTCCAATATGGTATTGCCACTAATGTACGATCCAGAGGCCACTAAGTTCTCTGTGAGTTCTTTTTTTCCTCGGCAGAAGTTTGTGACTCGCAGGGTGGATGACTTATCTGCCGATCCGTTCAAAGCCGATCAGATCAGATCGATGGATGAGAGGAGCAGCTGCTGTGAGTGAATGCAAACTTTTAGACCAAGCACAATAAACGGTTACGTTTCAACGCGCCTGACGTTGTGCTGCTCCGTCTCTGCCTTGAGTCTGTTCTGCGCTCCTACAGTGTGGTGAAATAAATAACTGAACATATAAGTTTTCAGTAACACTCCAAATGAACAATCGAGCTCCAAAAATAGAAAATCACAATATGGCGGCAGATGTTTTAATCTTGGTGGGCCGCCACAAATAAATAAATGTGTGGGAAACCCTGGATACTTTTATCGTTCGGTAGTTACAGATTACAGGTAATCTGATTATATAACTAGACCACAAATACAAGTAAGTAGCCTAGATTACATTTTTTAAAAATAGTTAGGTTGACATTACATTATGGCAGTTTTAAAATCAGGACAACCAGTGCTCCTTTAACTCATGAAAAGTGTGTGTGCCAGATTGAGTTCATTAAACAAGTGCTCCACTTTGGTGAGAGGTAAAAAGAACGGTGCTGAGTGAAGGCAGAAGGTTCAAGCAGCAGCACTCCCTCCAAAACAGCCTCCATTCCTGGCAACATCGCTCTAACTTCAACTTCAAAAACATGCAGCACAAGTTTGTGCCAGTCCTGTTTTTAAAGGCTAATCTGATTTGACCAAATGCACTGAAAATGTTTTCAGATATTTAAATATAAAAAAGGACATTTTTTAAATCAATTTTTTGAGTCTGTCCTTTTGTTTTTAGTTTAAGGTGCAATCACTTTAATGTCTGATTGTGAAGTAAAACAAAAGTACTTAGATTTGATTTTTGATGTTTTAATGTAATAACGATGGGTAATGTTCCTTACTACAACAACTAGTATTCAGTAATGTATGCAACACCTGGAAACACACATGAAACATGTATGCTGTATCCACTCAGCCCCTCTAAAGTTCTGTAAATGTCTCTCTCTGGTGTTTCCAGTGAGCTTTGAGCCAAACAAAAAGCAAACACGTGAAAAGGATGATGTGAATTTAAACTCTGCAGCTGAGCAGTCGCCTCTCAAGCCTCAGATGTCTGAGCGTCCTTGAAGGCACCGGCGGAGAGAGTTTTCTAAACAGTCCCTACTCTCAGCTGCATTTAACCCACGACGATAATTTAATTCGCCATGAAAGTCAATATCCAAAACACGTTTTAAGTCCCAGCAAGTTGATTTTTCGCAGCCGGCTGAAATGAAGTGACTGTAATGAAGCAGAGCTGGCAGGACACACAAGAGAAGCGGCTCACTGACATGAATCACTTCCCTTCATTTACTACAGTAAAAGCCCGGTAATTGCAGCGATATTTAACGCTAACATCTCACCCTGCGGAGGAATCCTCGGCACACAATGTCAATCTTTGAAATGCCAGAGGACCAGATTTAAAGAAATTACAGACTCATTCACTGGGTTTCTTTCACCACGCGCTGCCACTCAGGGTCACAACAGGCTGCACAGTGTCCCAGCATGCACCGGGTGGAGGTCACGGACAGGTTGACCACAAACATTCACCTCTGAGATGCTGACGGTCGCTGTGTTTGTAGAATAACTCTGGTTTTTATATCTGTTCTCTTGTTTTACTCTGACTCTATGTCTCTCATGTTGGTGTCTCGTCAAGGCTTAAAGGGACAGTTCACCCCAACACTGAAAATACATGTTTCCCTCTGACCTGTGGTGTTATTTATCAGTCTAGATAGTTTTGGCGTGAGTTGCCGAGTGTTGGAGACGTCTGTTCTCTCTCCAATATGATGGGACTAGAAGGCTCTCGGCTTGTAGTGCATTTGAAAATTCAACATCAATGTCTCTTTCCAGAAATCATGACTCGGTTACTCAAGATAATCCACAGACCTTGCTGTGAGCAGTTTCATGTGGGGACTATTTTCTTTCTACTGAACATCACCCGTCAACTGTATCACTGAGCAGAAGGAAGAGTGCATCTACTGCTCGCTCACCTTGCACCGCGGAGCTAGCTAACGTTACAGCTCAGCCAAGGAGGACGGCATTAATGTTTGCATCTTGCTTTATCATGAGTATCACTCGTCCATGAGAAGATGACTGGATTGTATTAGGTCCTGTTTCTATGACAACGATTTCAACCGAAAACGGTAAACTTTAGTTACGTTTTGGCCGATCGTTTACACGACAGCAGCATTTTGGGTGCCTGAAAATGCAACGTTTTGAAAACAGGTTCCAGAGTGCAATTTTTTGGAAACAGCGCCGTCTCTGTTGTCATGTAAACTTGGATATGTGGTTCCTCTGAGAACAGAGACTTCTCGCACATGCTCATTACGCTTCCAGTCACGAGGCATGTGCGAGAAAGTCAACCGTCACAACAACAATGCCGAGCTCTGCTTGTGCTGCTCAGCCTGTTGGATTTATCAACGCTTCTCCAGCAAAGTGTAGATTTACTGCAGCAACTCCACCTCGTCGTTTGTCCAGACAAATGTTTGTGCGGTTGCCATTTTGTTTGTTTATACATCACCGCTCTGTAGAAGGAAGCTCATGTGATGTTTTATTACAAAGTCACACCGCCACCTACTGGCCTGGCATGTATACTGCAGCGTGTTTGGTCATTTTTGCGCATCCGACGATTGTTGTCAAAACGTTGTCGTCTGAACGTGGAAGTTTTTTCTAAACAAAAATGAGAAACGACTCTGTTTTCAGTGGATTGTTTTCATGTAAACATGGACTAAGGCTGCATTAGTTTTAGTTAGCTGTACCTAATAAACTGGACAATGAGTGTGTGTTCTATATTGAAAAAGTTTGTGATCAGCGGTTATATGAATATTTTTCCTCTTTCCTTCAATAATAATTATGATAACTGATATAATTCCGTAAAGTTAAGGCACCAAATGTATTGTTTACATTTCAAAAGAAAAAGAAGTAAATGATTCAAACTGTCATTTACTCGATGTTCCCACAGCGTTGCATTACAGAGGAGAAAACTGAGTGAACTCAAATGTTGAATTTGTTTTCCAGTCCTGAAAAATGTCAGTGACCCCCGATCATTATTCAGGGTTCCTACAACTTCAGGCAATTTAAACATAGGACTCGTTCAGACTTTTTTATTTGCCAGTTAGAATTAAATTTAAGACGAATTTTACAAGAACCAAAATTAAGGATAAGAAATAAATGAATAAATGAACTGACATCAGTTACTAAGAGTTCTGCCCCAATGTTTATTGTCACATTAAATTCTCAGTGAAACAGACGTTAGTGTCTTTTACTCCTGATCAGTGCACTAGGGCTGCAACGACTAGTCGACCAAACAATGACTAATCAACTATTAAAATAATCGGTGACTATTTTAGTCCACTAATCGGTTTGAGTCTTTTTTCATAGAAAAGTACTGTAAAAGTACCCAAAATACTCTTAGGTGGTGATCACACAGAAATGAGACGCTAGAGACGCAGACGCTTCAAAGACGCTTGAAACGCTGGAAGCGCTTATTCAATGTGCGCTAGCTACTGGCATCTGACGCTCAAAAATGTTGAAAACATTTTAACTTTTCAGCATCTACATGCATCTAAAAAGAAGCGTCTACAAAAACGTGCGTCTAAAAAGACGCTGGAAAAACGCCTGTCTAAAAAGACGCTTGAACGCCGGTCAGGCGCGCTGTATCATAGGAAAATAATGGTTTTACTGGCGTCGCGTTTCTAGCGTTTCATCTCGGTGTGATCGCTCCCTTATTGCAGCTTCATAACGTTCAAATATTGGCAGCTTTA